AAGAGTCACCACAGGTGTACCATTCCAGGCTGCCACAATTAGTTGATAGTCACTGTACATACAAGAAATTTTTCTACAAACATCTGAGGGCTGCTAGAAGAGCTCTAACCCAACAGCATTATACAGATGGATGAACGGCAACACTCATCTTCAACACAGCAAGTATCTGTCATTAGGGTCTTACATTGGCATCTGATTTTCCAAAAAAAAATCTGTATTTCACTTACTGCTGCCTATTTGTACCTCTATTAATCACTTAAACTCTATTAAGATTTCTCTGAACTACTGTACAAGTAAGCTGGGTCTAAAATACTAGGGCAGTGGAAGTGCACATGTGTAGTCATAGTGGTGCAAAGCAATAAGTGTTCTGTGTGTAAAATCACTTTAAACTCACTTTTATTAAATCACTTTATCACAATTGCTAAGTTAGAAAAATAGTTTCATCCACAGTGATGTTAACATTAAATATAAAGATAAAACAGTTGTGCAGTGTTTTAAAACAGAATTAATTTTTTAATTTATTTCAAGAGGAGCAAAGTTGCTGACCCAGAAGTTCTTGTTTAAGACTGCTGGTCTGCATTCATCAACTATATGTAGTTCTTGTAGACTTGAAGACAAATGGAGAGCAAATGACATGTTAAGGAACCAAATTTCATCTAGGCATGACTGAAAACAGTGAGACTGTCTGTGCTGCTTAAGGAGAAAAATGCAAACCTCAGTCCATTTTAAGTAGAACAATGATGATTTTCAGAAATGAAACCAAACACCAGCAACTGTCTGGAAGTGCACAGCTTCACTTGTCTTCCACATCTGCTACCATAGCCTCAACTGCATTCCAGTCCAGTTTGCTGAGGATACTTCCTGTGCTTTCAGAAACACTATCAGAGTCAACAACGCCAAGAGGAGAGAAACTCACTGGATGAAGTGCAGAGGCCTATGGGAGGAACAAAAGATGAGTGGAATCATTCATGGACAAGACCTCTGCTCAGCCAGCAGATCCTGCTCTTTTCCAACATATCCTAATCAAGTTATGTGTCTGATTAAATTGCATTTGTTGCGCAATATTTCCTGTTTATGCACTCCCACTATGCCTGTTGTCTGAAGAGACAACAAGCCTATGCAGCTCTTATAAAGAAGATTAACTCTCAAGGCCTACAAGAATGACAAGCCTTGTAAAGACAAAACATAGTTCTGTTGAATCACCATCATTTGTGTCCCTTTTCAGCTACCCCACCCACATGTTTTGAAAAGAGAACCACTTTTTAAATAAAGCATACATAAACAAAGCATTGAATGGTAGGTAGAAAATTGTTCCTAGAATAATTAGACATCCTACCTGAAACAAGGAGTCCTGAGTATCTTCAAGTATTCTTTGGATATCATCAGGCACAGTCCAAGGACTTACTATGTCTCGATCACTCTCCTGATCAACACCCTCTGCCTGAGCTGCAGTGGCAACATGTAGAGGCTTTTGTTGTGATGTTCTGCTGCCTCTGTACTCAGTAGCTGAAGAGAAAACAAGCACTGTAACATTTCTTGCTATTTTCTTCTGAAGTCTTGAAGCTTCTCCAAGAACAGAAGCTCCACATTCTGAGAACTGAAGCTGTGTTTAAACATATGAAAAAGCAGCATGCCCTGTGATCCTGAACTGATGTGGGCTTACAGCAAGAAAATGCTGCTAGTCCTTTGCAGCTTCATGCTCTGAATTCTTCCCAGAACAGAAGATGAAGTGGAATAGGACTATGGATGGTGCCTACAGCATGGAAGTCCTGTTGTGCAGTCCCCAAACAGGGACACTGGTACATTATCTGACAGACGAGTTAACCTATGTAAATCCTGGATTTCTGCCTTCTAGAAGACATGGACTTTGGTGAAACCCTTAGCAGTGATACTACCGGGGAACAGAAACAAGAACGTGATCTGAAATCAGAGAAAGATAAACCTGTATTTAAAGTTTAAAAAGAGAATGTATGGAAAGCAGGAAGAGAGTGACTTTCCACAAGGGTAGAGGTGAGTGAGTGACTCAGGTAAAATGCCTATCTGCTTACTATTCCTCTTCTCCCTTTCCTGCACTGCCACCTCTAATAAACTGACATTTGACTAGCCAAACAGTATCCCTGTTATACCAGTAATATAATCCTGTAAGAGAGAATAAAAACCATCCACGGTATCTCCTCAGCTTCTGACAGACTGTCCCCTCATTCTGCTCTTGCAATCAAGTTCTGTGTCTGGTAGAGAATTTGACTAGGAGGAAACATTTATATGAGGAAACCTTTGTGAATACAGAGCTACAGCTACAAGCACAGTGGAATAGGATCACTAAAAGATAATTTATTTTAGTTTTTAGAAAAAGTTCAGTCACATTTTTCCACTCTAACATTATGACCAAATAGTATCTTAAATAGATAGTGTACAGAGGGGTAACAAAGACAACTCATACTCACAAGAGCTCAGAAAGCGAGCACAGAAAGGTAAGAGAGAGTCACAATACTTGTACTGTACTGCTAACTAACTCTCTCTGTGGTTTTCAGCTGAAAGAAAGACTCAAGCCCTCTGTTCCTCATGACTTCATAATGCCTGGTTCAGGTAATCACCAAGATCTAGTACATTTGCTTCATTAATCTGGCTAAATTTCATCTGGCTAAAACCACTCAGGAGGTAAACAGAGGTGATTGCTTAAAATATTTCACAAGTTTCTAATGAAAAGGATTATTATGTGGGGGGGAAAATGATTATTTTTCTTCTTCTAAACTAATGTAGAATCTGGGGCAGTGTTGTATACAACCTACCCAGGATGTATTCCATTTTCTATGTGTTTTATTTTTTCCCTGTATTATGCAGTTGTGCAGCACTATATCATTGCTCTCTGTAACTTACAGTGCCCAGAACTGACAGGAGAGGTTGCAGCATTTCTCACTCTTCCTCTAGAAGTACTTTTCGGTGGGAGTGTACTGACGTTTCCTGGAAAGACAAAGAAAGCATTTCCTCTGTTAGGTGCAGTAGATCAAAACTACTCAAAAGATGCTTCCAAATTTAAATCTGTGAGCTTGGTTGTTGGATTGCACAGTACTCTTGCTCTGGCCAATCAGGCTACTTTGGATTTAGAGGGAGATGATAAGGCAAGGTAACTCTCACCATTTAGCAGGCCAATGAGAGGACAGCTGCAAAAGCCTCAGGACAGGAAATCTCCAGGATTATAAATCTGACTTTCTACACCAGTATTAAAGCTCCTCCCTCCCAAAATTTGTTAATAACCTGAAGATCATCTTCAGTATATGCCTTCATTAAGAAAGTTCTGTTCTTACCCCTGGACTGTGTTAAACCAGGAGATGAGGTGAAACGGTGCACTTTTTGACCAAAGCTGGGTTTGGCAGCAATTCTACTCCTTTCTGGCAGCACAGGACCAGGACTATTCATATGCCCTCTACAACAAGAAAAAAAACAACAAAGTGCAAATACTTACCATTGTCTACCGCATTCCATTCCTCCATACAACTTCTGTCTAACAGGCCTTATTCAAGCGAGTAAAAAGGCTATAAAAATCATGTTCAGCCCACTTACCTAAGAAACAGCATCCCATACTGCTTGTGGGGCAGTTAAGCCTCACCAGAACCAGAGATGCTGACAATCACAGCAAGGACATCTCAAATTTGCTTTACAAAGTGCCAGTTTAGGTCCAGCAAACCCTTCAGAAGTTACTGCAAGGTCTAGGGTGGCTCCCTGCATGACATTCCTTAACACTTCTGATTCTGGCAGGGCTGATGCAGTTGAACTGCCCCTGGACAGCACCAGCAGGCTCTATACAGCATGGACTACATACAGTTCAATGCTCTATCCTAGAACTTAACTAAAATGAGATGCAGAAATATTCAAGTCTCAAAGTTACAGGATTATCTGAAGTACACAGTTCCTCCTATTATTCTGGAAAAAAAAAATGTATGTAGAAGTAGAAAAAGTATTCTGCAGTGTTCCTCAGGGCTCAGTGCTGGGACCGTTTCTGTTTAACATCTTTATTAATGATCTCGATAAGGACATAGAGTGAACTATCACTAAGTTTGCAGATGACACCAAGCTGGTGGGAGTGTTGATCTGCATGAGGATAGAGAGGCTCTACAGAGAGATTTGGATAGATTGGATGGTTGGGCTAATGTTAATGGTCTGGGTTTCAGCAAGGCCAAGTGCTGGGTCCTGCACTTGGGCCACAACAACTCCAGGCAACACTGCAGGCTTAGGGAAGTGTGGCTGGAAAGTGTCTGGCAGAAAAGGACCCGGGGGTTCTAAGTGACAAGGGCTGAATATGAGCCAGCAGTGTGCCCAGGTGGCCAAGAAAGCCAATGGCATCCTGGCTTGTATTAGAAATAGTGTGACCAGCAGACTTAGAGGTGTGATTTTCCCCCTGTACTCAGCACTGGTGAGGCCACACCTGGAGTATTGTGTCCAGTTTTGGGCACCTCAATTCAAGAGAGATATTGAGGTGCTGGAGCGAGTACAGAGAAGGGGAACAAAGCTGGTGAAGGGCCTAGAGAATAAACCTCAAGAAGAATGCTTGTAGGAGCTGGGAATGTTTAGTTTGAGGAAGAGCAGGCTGAGGGGAGACCTCATCAGTCTCTACAACTACCTGAAAGGTCATTGTAAAGAGGTTGGTGCTGGTCTCTTTTCACGGGTAATCAGTGACAGAACAAGAGGGAATGGCTTCAATCTGCAAAGGGAAGGTTTAGACTGGACATTAGGAAACATTTTTTCACAGAAAGAGTGGTGAGACACTGGAATAGGCTGCCCAGGGAGGTGGTTGAGTCACCATCCCTGGATGTGTTTAAGGGTTGTTTGGATGTGGTGTTGGTGGATATGGTTTAGGGGAGAACTTTTTGTAGAGTAGGGATGATGGTTGGACTTGTGATCCCAAGTGTCTTTTCCAACCTGAATGGTTCTATGATTCTAATGTACAACTAGATTACACATAAACATGTGACATTAATGCCATCAAGTAGAATAAATTTACCAGTTTTTAATACTGATCTCCTTAGAAGGCAATAAGCACCAAAGTGCAAAAGAAAGCACAAATAAAGTGCTAGGGAATGAAAAAAATTAGAAAGGAAGAATAAATCTAGATTCAGCTGAACTCTAATTATAAGTAGTCTATATGAATGCACAGTACTATTTTTATTTGCTTCTTACTTGTTAATAGTGCTCTTCAGACCATTAACTATGCTGCTGCCTCTACTCCACTGAAATTGCTGTGGAGTGGAATGGATTAGGACACTGACTATAGATCAGATTACACCTGTTACTGATTACAGATCAGATAACACCTGTTACTCTGCTATTGGAGTTGTCACAGTTGTGCTCTGAAAGGTGTTCTTAAGGCTCCCTCCACAATTTGCACTAGCAGCTTTAACAAGACTGGTACAGGAATTTTAAGACTCCTCTGCTCCAGACATCTTAGATTCTGCCAGATCTTCCCTCAAGCCAATCCTATACCAACTAGCTACAAATTGCAGACAAATCTGAAGTGTGGTAAAAACATCAATACATCAGAGCAGAGTTAATGCTTGAAGTTCTTACCCCTTAGTAGATGCCACACACCTTTTTCTGTACTCCTGAGGTGTTCTTGTCCTGGACAATGGTTTATGTTCACTTGCAGGTAACACCACTGCTTCACATAACATTTCATTCATCAAAGAAAGTGCCTGTGACATTCTCACACTGTGATGTTCAGATAACAGGGCTCTGTAGAGAAATAGCATTACATATTAACTCATGATATAAGTCATTTAATTGGAGCTGGCTTGTGAGTCTTGTAAGGCTACACTGCAACTGGAACAGAATTTGTGAAGTTTTGCTATTTCAGTGAATACGTACTATTCCTTTTAAGAGCATTAGCAAAAAGCTAAAAACATTTCTTAACAATGGGTTTAACAGAATGAAAGAGTCAATGCTAAGGAAAAAACAGAAAAACTGTTGTTTGTAAAGTGAAAAATACTGTCAAAGGATGAAACTTGTTAAGAATTTTCTTAAATGGTAAAAGAAACATGAATTATTTATGCTTTTGGTTGAAACGTTATTAATTTCTGAAGTTAACAGACAAGATAGTAAACATAAACAAGATAGTTAAAACTACCTCTTTCTTAAGACTGGAAAATTAATATTTAAGTAAGAGTACAACAAGTTACATTTATAGGAGCTTACTTGTCTTTTTCTTCTTTCTTCTTCTGGAAGTATTTAATATCCTTTGAAGTAGGACTACAATGCTGTGCCAAGAAAGTACAATCATTAACTTATTCTGTATTGTGGTCTCATTCCAATCTCTCACTCTCAAAATGTAGACTTATTTGACTTGAAATTTACTATTTAAGACATTCTCCACAATGAAAAACAATATGAAAGCATATGACCCTACCAGGAAATTCGGACAAAATGGTCCCTATAAACTCCCAGTCTCTAAATATACTGAAAGCTTGCAGTCACACCTTCCATACACTTAACATATTAACATTTCTAAGAGGATGTCTTCAATGTCAAGGTCTTAATTTCAAATGGCCTCACCTTCAGTTTCCTAGAAATTAGTGATGTTCCTACACAATAGCTAATTTAAAAACAGGGCAAGCTTGCCCTTTGACATGTGTTTGCTTGAGTACAATTTGAGGTTTTTTAATGTTTTCTTCTAAACAAAGGAAACCACCACCAAAAGCTGAGCATCCCTTCATCTACTGATTTCAGGAGAAAAGCCTGTAACAAGAGCATCAAGTATATATCTATGGGTTGTCAACTCAACAGGAGAGAAGCAAGACTAATTTTTCCTGAATTACTTTTATCTTCTACACTTGGACAAAGGAGCAGCAGGGTTCCACACTGAAAGACTGTTTAAAATCAGGGGAAATAATGTATAAGATCTGTTACTCTTTTTAAAAGTGAACACAATTCAATTATTTGGTAACAGTAAACATTTGTCTGTAACATGTTTTCTGCTTGGGAGTTAATCCCCTTAGAGCCCCAGCAGGAAAGAAAACCCTGCGTTCAAATGATGAGTAGAAAGCATGGGGATATGTTTTGCTGTTGCTGGTTCTCACCTCCTGCAACCCTGAAGACTTCCCTGACCCAGCAGTGTCTTTTCAGGTCCTGAAGGTATCCAGGTGGCAAATATGTATTTTAAGACTTAATACTGATTGTGAAATTATTTCTTAACGACTTTTGCACCTTCTTTTCCCTTCAGTTATTTCCAGCACAGTGCAGATCACAAGAGATGTATCAGGCCATAAATAATGTTTTTACTAATTAAACTCCACATTAAAAAATATTTTGGGAAGGAAGGGATTGTTTGCTGAGCCTGCATTGAAAACTAGCCTTCAACCAAAATATTCAGATACTTGAGATGTACATTCTATTTCTGGTGTCTCTGCCAACCCTCTGTAATTGCATACGCTTCCATATGTGTGCGAACACATACTGTGCCCTCAGTATCCTGTCGTGTTTGCAAAGGATGCTGGCATCTGAACTCTGCTTTATAAATTCATCGGGGGTTTTGAGGAGGTGCAGGGACAGATGAAACAAGATGTAAAAACATCTTTACAACTCCTGTAGTCACCACCACTGATAAAATACAGCTTTTATCAGCGAGTGTTACAGGTGTAACCATTACAGCTGCGGGACTACACTTCCTGAATCTAGAGCTGGGGGACAGCTCATAATTGCCACCTGCAGCCAACTGTCATTACTGCAGTCTGTGAAGAACACTGGTATATTTGTTTACTGATCACTTCTGACACAGCTATGGCCAGTCCCAATACCATAAAAGAAAACATACAAAAAACCAACATTAAAATAGGAAAAAAAAATCACCAACAACATTTATATTACAAAACCTGAACAATCAACACTTGTACAGTAAGCGACAGCTACTCTTGAAAATACCAGTTATTCTTACCACATCCTTTCTTGGATTGAATGGATTATGCTCCTTCTGTCTTTGTTCATCCAGTTTCTTCACATATTCTCTCATTCTTTCCCTTCGTTTTCTTTTCATCCATGCTTGTATCTCTTTCCTCTCCTTCTCTGTTTTCTGAGAACGTCCAGCAGCAGAACCACGAACCCTGAGAACAGATACAAATGGGAAATAATCTAGCACGTCCTTTAAGTTGTAAGCAGTGGCAGCTATATGGTACAATAAAAATACTGCAAGCCCTTTAAAATTCTGACTCAGTAGAAAGCCTAAGTAATGAACAATGGGGAAATTTTCTTCTGCAACATATTACTTCAGAAAATCCTCACACTCAGGTCATGTCCAAGATGTTTCTTAAAATTCATCTTTGTCAATTACATTCAGATAATAGGATCAAAGCTTTGAATGTGGATCATCTGTTAGTGTCTTTACAGGCTAACTGGAAGAGAAAAAAATGAAAGTAATTTTACTGTAATCTTTCATTTTTTAAATGTGTATAGTAAAAATATCTAAAAAAAAAAAACACCAATGAGATTCTATTATCTTTTTTGTTCCTTCCCCTCAACCTATGAGGTCCTTCAAAAGACTATGTACAAAATAATTTTTAAAACACAGCCAATAATAAACACTAACTTAACTCGATCCTCAAGAGTTCCTCAGAAATATTTACTAATTCACCTTGCAATAGTCTTTAAAGTAGCTGGGTAATAAGTATTTTATTTACTGTAAAACTAAAAGGACCAACGTAAAAATTAAAACGAGGTTTTCCAACAGAAGTGTTTCAATTTTTTAAAACCCATTTTGAAACTTTGATTTTCAAGACTGGAAAGCATTAATAATGCCAGAATGAACAGAAGGTACGAGTGTAACAAAGTATCTCTAGTAGTTGCCGTTAAACTGAAAGCTTATGGATTTAAGCACTAAAGCTCTCAAGGGAGTGGAACTTAATTTGGATGTTATTTACTTTCTGGGAAAGGGAAGCTCATTATCGGAAGTATTCACAGTTTTATGTGAAAAATAAGTACGTGAAATTGAGTTGTCCTTAGGTCTTTGGTCAGGTTTGATTAAATGTTACTTGAATACATTTTTGAAATTTTCAGTAATCTTGAAGATGTACACATAATTGCCTAGCAGTCCAGCTAGCAACATTTATACGCCCATGTAGTTATTAATGTGTTTGGAATTCTCAAAGGATTGCAAAGATCATGTGATCTGTGCACAGATTCACATTTGAAGTCCTTGAGCTCCTTTTACAATTTAAATACACATTAGAACAAGTAAAGCAGAGCACTATACTTTAATGAGTCACTAGAAACGCCTGAAACAGATATCTTAAACTGCATCATTGCATCAACATAACAGACAGTCTGGCATCCTGAACAGCTGTACTTTTCCCTTGTAAAAAACTGATACCACAAACAGGAGTAGGAAACAGCTCTTATTTTAAGACATCTGAGAAAAGAACAGATGATTTTGAAACTGACAGGAAGAAGTAGAAATCTCCAGCAGGGAGACCATGACAAACTGGAGTCTGTGGCTGAAATCTTCTGAAGCTGCTTAGGCACTGACAGGTACAATAAGGGACAAGCGAGTAGGGAAGAATTCGAAAAACAAAATAATAAAACCCAACTAGCATATTTTACAATAATGTCCAGTAAAAATGTGACTTTCAAATAGTTCTAAGTCTGGTCCCACTGACATCAAGCTGAATCACATGCTTGCTTCCACTGTTTACAGGGTGTGAGCTATGAGAAGAATAACCAGAGTTAAAATTATTTAACTCAAACATAATAAAAAAAGCAGCAATGGCATTACCTAGAGATTTTGTTAGCTTGTGTTTTTGTAAAGCCCAGCTCCAACGGGGAGATGTCACCTTGTCTTATAAGATCACTAATGATGTCAGTTACACCACTCAGACCGGTCATTTGCAGGCAATCTTCTAAAGAGCTTAAAGTTAGGCAGGGAAAAAAAACGTTACTAATTTGAAGTAGAACATGCCTGTAGAAAAGACAAGCTAAAATCCCTCCTTTTATGCTTAAAATGAGATTCTTCAGGTTGTTTTACCAGAAGCCTTTGGATTGAATTTTCTCCTGCACCTCACTGTGTTAGTGCACAGAAGCAACACCTGGATAATGTGTGTAGAGCACTGACTTAAAAAAGTTACCAGCCATCATCTTAGCTTTGCTGTCATCACGTAGACTTTAGCCTGCTTTGTAGTTTCCCAGTGTGGATGGGATAGAATGAGTAAGACCTGACTAGCATCAGGAGTACTGCAGAGAGGGCCTTGAATAAACCATCCAGAAATATGGCCCCATCCAGAGCTGAACTGCCTGAACTCCACTTTGGAGTGTCAACACGGCTGGCCCACAGGAAGCTCAGCCTGGCAGCCCAGAAGGCCAGGAGCACCTGAACAGTTTGTACTGCTGCCCATGCAGAGATAAACCTTTGGGACACTACACCAAATCTCAATGACCTTCTGAGCAAGAATGAGCAGAACAACCAGGAAGAAAGGGAATGACCAAGAGGAAAGGAAAGCCAGCTACTGTTTCCTACTGCACAACTGGATCCAGAAGACTAGTAACAGTTAACATTAAAAAACATGTGTGTCAGACCACCTTATTTAAAGCATAAGGTCATTCCAATTTTTTCAAGTCTTCAGCCTGTTTCTTTCCACCCCATGAACTTTACTGTTCATAGCGTAACACTTTAAAAACCTTCTGGCAAAATCTAGCTTTAGTAGATGACCACCAGCAGCAGTTGCTCGTACTTGTTCAAAAACAGTGCTTTTCAAGCACGAAAATCATAAATGCACACTGACAGTAGCAGCATCTACAGCAACAGCTCTGTTATTTGTATCTAGAAAGCAACTTCGAATGCTTCTGCAGATACAGGCACTACTATCAAGAGCATCAGAACAAATGTCTGAAATTCACTAACAAAAAGGCTTTAATTCAGTTTGAAAACAAATCCCTACATTTTTATGTGATAGTTCTACCTTGTCGGTCCCCTTTTTTGGCAGGATTTTGAAGTAAACAAATTTTGAACAAAACCAATGTCAAAATACATACCTATCACACAGATCTCTGCTTACTTGAAAGTCTGAAACAGAAACAGCCTTTGTTAATAAAAGCCTTGTACATGAACAGAAAGAATACATAAATAAAAACATAAATAAATGTTAAACAGCCTACAGGATAAAATACAGAAATACATCACCCTGAGTATGTTGATATTCAAGAGAAATGCATATCACACATAGGCTAGATGACCTGTGAGAACATGACATTGGCAGCCAACTTCATAGAGAACCTCCAGAGAAAATTAATGAACAGCTCCCTGACTGACATGGATAGTTTTCCTAGAAAGACACACCTGAAGTCTGTGCTGCCATTGAGCATGATATGGACAGGCTGGAGAGTTGGGAAGGAGAAACTTTACGAAATTCAACTAGGGCAAGTGTAGAGTCTTGCATCTGGGGAAGAATAACCCCATGTATCAGTACAGGCTGGGGGGGTGACCTGCTGAAAAGCAGCTCTGGGGAGAAGAACCTGAGGGTCCTGGTGTGCAACAGGCTGACCATGAGCCAACAATGTGTTCTTGCAGCCAAGAAGGCCAATGTCATTCTGGGGTGCATAAGGAAGTGTGTGGCCAGTAGGCTGAAGGAGGTTATCCTCCCTCTCTCCTCCACCCTGGTAAGGCCACATCTGGAAAACTGCATCCAATTCTGGGCTCCCTAGTTATAAAGGACAAGGGACTACCAGGAAGAGCTCAGCCTGGGGCCATTAAATGATTAGAGGAATGGAGCATCTGCCCTAAGACAAAAGGCAGACAGAGCTGGATCTGTTTAGCCTGGAGAAGAGAAGATTGAAGAAGGATCTTATTAATGCTTTTAAATATCTAAAGGATGGGTATCAGGAGGATGGGGCCAGTTTCTTTTTAGCAGTGTACAGTGACAGGACAAGGGGCAATGGGGGCCAGCTGGAGCACAGGAGGTTCAAGTTAAACATAAGGAAAAACTTTTTCCTGAGTGAGTAACAGAACACTGGAACAGGTTGTTTAAGAAAGTTGTGGAGTCTCCTTCTCTGGAAAAAATAAAAACCTGTCTGGACATGTTCCTGTGTGATCTGCTGTAGGTGATCCTGCTACAGCAGGGTGTTTGGACTAGATGATCTTCAGAGGTCCCTTCCAACCCTTATGACTCTATGACAAACCAGTACAGCAATGCATTTCAGAAATAGACCTAAAGTTGTTTATTTCATTTCAATAATGGTGCAAGAATAATTCACTGCATAACTGTTTGCAAAGCTTACTGATAGTTTTCCTTTGTGTAACATATGAACTCATGATCAGTGCACATCCATGAAGCCTTTCTAAATAAGGCAATCTAGAAAGACTGACAACTGACTTTTATGAGCTCACTGGCACTACATATCATGCTGTGTAACCGCAGTGACAAAGTGCTACACCAGGAAGAAAAGATTTACTTATTGCTAAAAGGGAGAAAAGGGAAAAACAAACAATAAATGACATACCAGGTGATGACTTTACACCACTGGCCAAGTTAGAAGCAGAAGCTGAAGAGGCAGGAGAGTGTACTTCCAATGAAGTAAAACCGGGTATAGGATATTCCAAGTTTAAGGCTTCCTTTTCAACATCTGTAACATCTTCAAAAATCATGTCCCTCAAATAATGTTCTGATTCCATGAAAAAAATATAGTAATTAGTATAGAACAATGGAAAAAAGCCCACAATGCAAAAACTATCACTCATATATGTTAGTGGCATACTTAGCTTATCTGTCAAACCTAAACCAACCTGAACCTAGATCAGGCGTGCCTCCCTGTGAAAGGGAACTACCAGAGCTGTGATGATATAAAAATCTTAAATACTGTCTTATATACAAATACAGATATAGCCATGATTTCGTGATACAACTTGGCTTTACATTAATTTGGAAAACAGCCTAGACTATATTTTGGTATGAATGTAAAATGGACCTGTATGTACTCCCAGCACGTTCTTCTCGGCACAGTATAGTAGCTACAAGTAAACAGTTACTATACAGTCAACTGTTACATAAATAAGAAATTATTCACTACATCAGCCTCAGCAAACAGTTAAGCTCATGTAAACTTCTATTAAAATCAGTAGATAATGCAGATAAATAGCCACCAAAGATGCATGAAAAAGTTTCTTTATATATCCAGAGAAACTCAGGACAAATTTAGTATCCTATCAGCAAGCAAAGCACTCCTAAGCACTGTGTTTTGATTTTTATGATACAACAGTAATACATACAATCTTACTTAAAATACTATACCCAATTCCTGCATTAGGGCTTTGGAAAACGTCAAAGTAGACAGGTATTTTCTAAAGCATTTCCGTTGAAGCAGTAGCCATAACATTCAATTTTTCTACCTTCGATTTTATTTTTCTGTAGTATTTCTATTTTTTGGTGTCTATTTCAATAGTAACTCCTAAGACTGCATTAACCTTCAGTAGTAATGAAAAGTTAGTCAAGTTTAATATTCAATTGGCAGTTTACTATCCTTCTGTTAATTGAACACATACCATCGTCAATTATTCTACCATCTTCAGAGAATGAAGGATGATCACCAACACTTGAATTAGCAGCCACTTCAAAATCTTCTATTATTTTCACTAGCTATAAATGAAACGCAAAAACTAAGTATTGATACATCCTTCAAGGCATTTCTGAAACTAACACCAGATATTTATACAAAGTTTGCTTTATAAACTTTTTCCCCCTTAAGGATCTTCTAAACATTTTCAGAGTATCCTCATTCAAAACAAAGAAAATAGTCCAGCAATCAAAGCAGCTCAAGTAGATTAATTTAATCTAAAAGTTCAATCTTCTGGATCCGTAGTCTGAAAAAAAATGCATATGAACAGTATTTTTCTTAATAACAGTTTTACTCCTATTGGTCACATTATTTTGTTTTTTTAATAGTTTAAGTTTTCCAATGTATCTTACCTAAAACTCTCAGAAATAAAAGTATTTCCATATTCTTAATGAGTCTGGAGTTCTCCTGAAGTTTAGAATTAGGAAGCAAAAACTAAAACCAACTAACCCAGATTGAGACATTTTACTGAACATTACCTCTTCCAAAGAAGCAGTCTCAAAACCAATTTCTAGTACATAAGAAAGCATTGTAAAGGGAATAACCAACAGTTGTGCACTGAAATAAGGGCAAGAAAGCAAATGGGATTATCTTCAGGATTTAGCTAGATATCCAGAAGAAGCTTTAAAACCCAAATGCAGTGAGATGCTGAAACAAAAAAAAAAGAGGATGTGAAGATTTTTCTTCACTACAGGCTTTTAAAAATCTGTCTAGGTAATTGCCTTGATGAAAAGCACAAGCAACTAAATAATCCAGCTTAGAGTAATAACAGCATGGAGGTGACACAATGAGATTCTTGCATTTCTGTGAAAATATGGAAGTACAGGTAATGGACATTATTAGTTTGAATGACTATACAAATAGTTTCTATAATTATGCATTATACAGCAGATGCTGTGGAACTACACGATGTTACTGAACTCATTCAGTATTAAACCATATGTAAAGGAGCTGGAAATTGACTTAAGTCTTCTTGATATGCAAAGAAAAACAAAAGCTTTTTACCAGCTAGGTGAAAGCAGAAACTACTGGTTCATTCTTAGATTAGTCACTCCCAGTTGGCTCTAAACTTAACATAAAAGCTAAAGTACTGGGAAGAAATAATTGCCAGCATTCCCCACTTCACAAATACCTGAGATCAGCCTCACCTGAAGTTTCAGGCAATTTAAATTACCTATACTATTAAGAGGTCAACCTGTTGAAAAGTTTCACCTTTTTGTTATTATCTCTGTCATGGCCTATAAAGCAGTAATTCTTAAGCTACATACAAGACAATCTGAATGCACTATGTCTAAAATGCATTTAATTTACTTCTATGCTTCGATTTATAAAGGTGTTAAAAATGCAAGTACTTTATGAAATAAACAGAAATAGGTTCCAGGAATGGTCACATAGTATTCTGCAGAGGCACAGGTACAGAAATCTTTGCCAAAAAGGTCTCCTGCTCATTACAAATTTTTGTCCTATTTCATTTTCCCAGTTACAGAAAAATTGAATATATCTTGCCTGCTGACTAAGAGCATTACAATTCTGGCCAGGATTTGGTCCATTCTAAGTACCCAAGGCAGTCAACAGATGCAGCACTAGATGTGGAGGAACTTTACAAGATTCTCAATGGGTCTTAAATCTATACTAAGCAGATTTTAAAATACATCATTCCAAAATGTAAATTGTGTCTTTAGCTGAAAAAGTTACAAAATAAACTGTTTCAAACATAACAGTTAGCAGTCAGAACTCACCAGTTCGGTGTTTCTGAAATCTTCCTCCTTTGTTCTGCTCTGTAGTGTCTGTAACTGGATATCTATGTCCTGCTGCTTTGTGGAAAAGTATTCTTTGCCAATTACTTTGGATGGAAGCCCTGAAGAAGGCAAAATTCTGTCACCTTCAGGTACTATGTTCCAAGTTGCCTCGCCTCCAGCAGAATATGAGTTCTTATCTTCCTTTTGCATTTGCCTTGATATATTTTTTCGATGACCATCTTGAAATAAAAAAAAACAAACCAAAGTGCACTAACATCACTGAATAACCTGCGAACATTCAACTGCTGCAAGCGTATGCTTTAGGAGGCAGGAATCGTCACAAAATAAGTCAAATGTATAAAAGGTTTGTCTGTATAAGACTAGAAAAGCAGAAAGTGAGCTGATAAAAGGTGGGAGCTAAGAAAATTACAATAAAACTGTAAAGCTACATGGATTACCTCTCTTCTGAAGCATCTTGGGTGGAATCACAGTAGTAACAGAAGCTGCTATGTGATTAACTTTTGAAGTAGATGGAATTTCAAAGTTCTCATTTTGCAGTACAGTATCTATCTCTTCTGCAGACTCAGGTATCATGGGCAAATTGTTAATGATGTTACTGCCTTCTATGTCAATCACACTGACATATTCATGTTCACTCTGAATTAAGAACAAGATGTTGAAGAATTATACCATGTGCATTTTGCATACATTATTTACAGTACATTGTTAACCACTCCTTGTGTTCACTTCTTACCACTGAGTTAAGAGTTTTTTTGTTCTAAAGACAAAGTAACTACAATCATTCCTATGGTATTATACAACTTATTAAGGTTTAAAGAGCCCAAATTCATGAGGTAAGACAAGCAGTACACGTAAAAAGCATTGTAACCATATGTATATTCGCCTACTAACCAAATCACGCACATCCAGCAGAAGGGATGATAAAGGCCTTTCAGTCACTTCAGAGGGGAATCTTTGGTTTAAATACATATCTGGTGGAAGTATCTCAAGGGCACTAGATGATTCTAAGAGAAAAGAATAACAGTATTGTATTTACAGTAAAAGCCATGAAACTTCAGATAAGCTACTTGCAAACTGGTCTGCATTCTCTGGATGGAAAGAGAAGATTTTATAAGCATTTCTTCTAAAAAATATAGACCATGTAGCTTAATAGGTTTCTTAAATGTTTTGCTTCAGACAATAAATCACTAAATTGTTTTTGATTTTTGTGAGAAATCAAAAGAATACTCAAAATATTAAAATCAAAGCAACATGGTACAGCCCCAAACTGCTATTAATTTCTAATTCTCTCCTGACTAGGTTAGAAAACCACAAAAAACCTCCATCTTTACTTGATCCATGTAAATAAAACAACTCAGCTAGAAAGACCTCAAACTGGAAGGAAGTCTTGTGTTGTAGTAAAATAATCGTCCAAATGGAACAACACTGTTTAATTTTAAAAGAAAGGAAAAATTAATATGCTTACTTGGTGCCATAGAAAAAAATACTTAGATTATGAATTCTACATAGCATAGTTAATCTAGAATGTATGAAATGGGGGGAGAAAATCCAAACCCACATAAATCTTCTTTAGTACAACATGAAAACTACCTTTTATGTTATACAAATTGATCCAAAAGATGACTGGTTGGGAGGAACATTGAGAATACTTGAGACTGGAACACTGGCACTTGGCATATAACTATTACTCAACTTAGCACATGCACAGAACTGTATCATCAGCTGCGACAGTACAGCTCAATTTCATGTGCATCTGTGACTTGCCTTATCCCACCAGTCAATCCATTTGGTTTGTGTAACACCAAACCACGATTAAGCAGCACTGAATTCCAAGCTAAAATCCAAAGATGTTTCTCCTCATACAGGAATACAAAAGCATATGTACACTGCATCATGAAAAATTCCAGCCAAACTCTTCATAATCAGTACTGTAATTACTTCACATTTGGTTTCAAAGGTCAGATACATTAGCATTTTTGTATCTATATTCTGCATTAAGCTACCTCATATACAAAAAAACACATTAAAATGGTAATATTTTTATATATTTCCCAAAAAACAGAGGAAGTAGAGAAAGACTGAACCCACACCTGGCACAGGAACAGACACAACTGACTCTTTTTTTTGAAGTTCAGGAACCTCATTGCCAGCACTGGTTCCAATATCCTCATATGGTTTGAGCACTTGATAGGAAAAAAACCAAAATGCATTAATGAATTTAAGTGAAGCAGAGACACTTGACGACATTATCTGAATATACATTTCTGATTTAACAGTTTACAATCAAAACAAAGTTGGAGTGGAAACAATTTCAGTCACATGTGAAATATTGTCTAAAATACATTTAGATAAAATTAACCAAAGTTAAAAGGAGCTTTCAGAAAAAGTGACTGCAGAACTGACTTACAAAAAGCATGTGGAGACCTTACATAGTTTCATCAGTAACATTTTCTTATATAATTTCTTTAACTAATATTCTATAACTTACATTCCAGTATCCTCTGGTTTAATACTTTTTGAAACAAAAAGCTACAGCACAAAAACCCCATTTATCTCTTTCCATACTACATTTTGGAAACTGACCAAATGCACTTGGCTGCTGTATGTCAGGCAGGTAGAACTTACCTGGGTGAGTATTAGTACTTGCATCTTGAGTTTCTGCTGGTTTTTTTCCTGTAGAAGCCATGTAATGTAGATCTGCTGAAGTAGTAACTGCTTCCCTTGTTGCGCCTAAAATGTGATAATACACAACAGGTGTCTAAAAATAATGCAAGAACTGGAAATCCATGAAAGCAATGATATTAACTCAGAACTAAGGGAAATTCTTCTTTGCATTTCTGAGTTAATTTTAACTTTTTTTTAAGCATACTTCATGAACCATTCCCACAAAAAACTTAAGAGTGCTACACTGAACTAAAATCAAGGCTCAGTTTGGACATGTAATTTTAAAATATTTTAGTATGCTTTACAATATAAAGGGTTTTTTTTACTATTTTAAAACAGGGAAAATATTAATTATATATGTACCTTTATATCTTTATTGATGTTTCCACATAAGTTTGCAAAGCAGTGTTTCTCTAAGACCAAATGTCAGAGAACAGGTTGCACTTTTCCCTCTGACAGGATTAAGTATTGTGCTGAATTAATGTACTATAAAGAAGCAAAACTTTCTAAAGGTATGGTCTTTATTTTTCAAGCTAGAAATAGTGCAAACATTTCCTTTTAAGAAAGACTGAAGTTTTGAATAACTAGAATATGCAGGCAAATAAAACTGGGATAGTATTTTTTAAAACAAACTTAGGCAGAATTTATAAGCATTGTGTACATCATTCTTCTGAAGAATCACAGGAACAGAAATCACTATGAACCATAGTTACTGGAATTCACTCAACATACTGTTATCATTTTGTGTAGTCTGTTATTTATAAACATAAATTATTATAATTTAGTTTTTGGACAACTTAAAATACTCCTCTAATCTTCAGGAGAATTATTCTGAGTTTACAGATAATTGATTGAGATCTTAAATTTGCCTGCATCTTCCCAACTTCAATCCCCTAAAAACTGACTATCCCCAAAAAAAGACTATCTGCTGTACATCCTGGAAGATCTTCCTAATTTTCTGGGGAGACAGCATAGGACATCATGCTTTATTACCCACAGACGACATAATCTGAGTTTTCAACATCCTGATGACTCTAGAATTTTCCTTTGACATCTAACAAACTTCTCTTCCTTGATTTATTTTGAGTACTGAAAGCACTAAAAAGACTTGTACTTGCCCACTGAAATGCAAAAAGCATCTTGAAGGTAAGATGTAGATTTTGCTTGTTGATCCTAAAATAAGAAGAAGAAGGATTACACATCACGAAATGGTTCCAAGGCCAATTAAAGGCTTTCTTGGTGCTGTTAACTTAGAAATTACTCCCTTCAGTAATGATTTAACAAAAAAACCAAACCAAAACAAAAGTACCATACTTATCTTACCCCCTTTTTTAATTCTTCTAATCCATTCTAATCCTGTTGATTTACTGACTATGTAACACTTTCCCATATGTACCTCAGGGTGACTTGCACTAACACAAGTTCCTCATTCTTCGAGTATGTGCTATCTCTGCTGTACCATAATTAGCATCTCCCAGATCTGGTCAGGCTCTCCAGCTGCTGTGCTGAACAGTCTCAAAGAAGATGTGTTACAGATCAGAAATAAAGCCTGCTGCTCTGAGTAGTGACTTCTCTTTGTATTTGCTATTGTTCTACCTTGAAAGCTGGTACTTGCAAAGATAATCTCCAAATATATGAAACGGCATAATTTCTTGGCTGAAACAGAACTGAGACCTTGTGCTGCCCATCCTCACCCCTTTTGTCATCACGTAGCCTCAGGTGGAAAGAGCAGTGCTTGGGTTACTTCACCTGGCATTACTGCTGGGCTAAACATTTTATTATTTAAGCGATTAGCATTTGTGCATATAGTTACTTCAAAAGTAGATACAAACAATTATCCTATGAAAATCGACAAGTTCATGTCCTGAAAAAAACAAAAGCAATGTTGGAATGCTTTATAAAAATAAATCTCTTGTTTACAAGAAATGCAAGCATATGAATTAAAGACGTATACTGCTTCCAGGCTACAGTCTGGAAGAGATTTACATGATAATTTTGGTTTACAGCTTCCTGCTTACTTGATGGGAAAAGGTAAAAAGAGAAAAACCAAAATATTCTTATATACCTCAGTCCCTGATGCAACAACTGTTGTGGCATCACTAATACTGATGATGGAGTCTGCTGAACAGAAGGATACACTTGTTTTCTTCTTTTCCTCCTCCTCTTTAATTTGTTTATCTCGCCTCTTTTGTCTGTCAAAATATTAATTAACAATTAAAAAAAAGAACTGATACAATAAAAATACCTAGAATTGTTTTCTAACAAGTATTGCTATTACTACTATTAATAGTACTACTACTAAGAAATATACACTGAAATAAAACTGGAAAAGACAAACAACTGCAGAATACAGATCAATTCAATGCAATACTTACGCCTATCAGAAATCTACATAAAATTGTAGTAGGAACTCATAAAAATACTTAACCAATCACACCAACATCTGTTACGCTTTTTATATTAAGCATTACAAACTGTCTAACATTTCACATCTAAACTTTGTGTATTAAAAAAATTATCATTAATACCCAAAATGCCTGTAAAGAATCCACAATAAATACACCAAGAAAGAAACGTCTGTTATTGCAGAAGCTTTCTAATTAACTATTTTACTAAAAAAGTTCTGGTATCTAATAACCAGATTATAAAACAAGTGTACCTACAATCATTTCAGCTGATAATATCAAAACAAGATTCCTAAACTCCATTTGCAATTGTTTTTCATCTTAAGAGGGAAAAACTCATCTTAGCATCTGTCTTTCCAACTGCCAGCCTTAAAGGCAACAACATCAGAAATGTTCTGTTTTAGATTCAATGTCAGTAACTCTTCCATGGAAAAAACCTTATTAGTGAAACTTCAGGAATCTACTAACATCGTATGAGAACTGAACAAAGATATGCATGAAGCTTAAACATACTGTTGCAACTACTTCTGC